AAAAAAAAAAAAAAAAAAAAAAAAAAAAGATCCCCCACTGCACTTTTCAGGGTTGTGAAGTTGTTAGTTTTTTTTTGTTTTTTTTTTTGCCCTGTTTTGTTTTTGGTCAAGCTCTGTATGTGGCAATGTGCAAAGTTTGGTGTTTGTTGGGTTCCTGGAGATGGTTGTTTTGGGCAATGGTGAAAATCGTGGAAATCGACAAATTGTCAAATTGAAATGTTGGTGAAATTTCATGAAAGTGCACTTTTGGCTTGCTGAAGTTGCTGTTTTATATGTTTTTATAATTTTATTAACTTTCCATTATTTTTCTTCGGTTTTCTTTTCACAATAAGTTAGTAAGAAGTGCACTCTACAGATTGGCGTGAAGTACGGTTAAAATAGCCCTTTGGTTTTCTTATAAATGGGGGTGAAAATTGGGGGTTCGGTTAACCTTCTGTCCTGGCGAGAGGGTTAACGAAACGACTGTGAAACAGCAAGTTACGAGGTGAAGGGAGTATGGTACACTGTCACTGATCTGTGTTCTCAGTACGGGAGGATCGTCACGGTGGTGAATTGTAATACGATGGACATGGCGAAAGAAAAGGGGATGGGAGGATGGATGAAGCAGGGATATACCATTTGGAAAAAAGAAAAAAGAAAAAATGGGAAAAGAAAAAGGAAAAAGGAAGGGGAAGGAAGGATGGAGGGAATTTGGTACCGTCCAGGAGCACAAGGACGGGTAGCACGAGTGGGTAGAAAGCTGCTATCTTTCAACATGAGTACCAGGACAGTCCTTTGTATTTAAGCAGTGAGAGGGATGGCCTTAACCCTCTCGCCAAGCAGTGATGCTTGTTCAAGATACTTTCTCCCTGATGAGTCTGTGGAGTACGCCCACAGCGAAACGCGTCGGAGATCGCGTATGGTTCTTCATCAGTGCACCTGTGGAGTTCCAATTTTTGAAACGGTAATCACCAGTTCGCAGTAGCGAATGCAGATCCCAGGGCTCGATCCCTAGTTCCCTATCTTACCTGTGTACAGTATTGATGTCAACCCGTAGACTTGAACCCGCGACCTGTAGGATCGCCAGTGGTAGGCAGGGTTTCGTAGGTCACAGCTTAGAAGGGAATCGAACTGTAGACCTGTAGGGTAGGAGTCTAGACAATTCCRAAGTCGTAGCTGTAGGATGCCTGAAGAGTCAAGGTCGTAGCTGCTACTTACCTGAAAGGGCAAAGTCGTAGCTGCTACAGTACCGAAAGGCCAAGTTCGAGACTTCTAGAAGTGGCCTTTCGGAGTTGCCCTGTGTTCAGCAGAGGCAAGTGGTCAAGTGGTGGTAGTCCACCTAGCCCAGTCAGCAGTCCCAGTTAGTCAGTCCGGTCCTGTTCAGCAAGTACCGCCTGGGACTGTGTGCACATCGTGGGCCAAGGGATACAGGGCAGACCAACGCAGCGCAGAAATATAAATCAAGAGGCTGCGTCCAGCCATTCATTCATTCCTGCGGATGCCATGCGGAAGCGCTGCCCCAGCAGCTTGTGCGAGGAGGTCTGCAGTGCGCCCGAAGACGAAGAGGGCAGTGAAGTGTAGTGTAGCGATAGGATAGTGGCAGCCATAGCTGCCATAGCTATAGTAGTGTGTGTGTGTGTGTGTGTGTGTTGCGTGTAGAGTGTTGCGTGTGGGACACCCAGGGTGATCCAGAGTGCGAACAGTGAGTTGTGTGGGCGCTCAGTCGCCATAGCCAGTTGAAGAGAACTCCTACCTGGTTACGATATCTTGAGTACTGTGTGGGCGCATGTCGCCAGTTTGCTGTTTCGCTGTTTGCATGCATGA